TTATAATTTTAATCTCTATAATTTTATCTTATATTTCATTTTATAAATATAATTTAGATTATTTATTTTATAATTAAATTAATTTTTTTTAATTTTTATAAATTTATATAAAAAAATATATTAAAATCTCTCTATCTTTGAAAGTATCATAGTATATAAACCGTGGAACAAATAATTAAACTCAACATAAATTGCATAACTCACATGTTGTGATCCAATCCTAATCCCATCCCTTTTAAAAATTGTAAAAAAAAAGGGGAAGAAAAAGACGAGCACAGCTGAGCAGAGAGCACATAGAGATAACAAAACAGCCACCGCCAATTCGCGTGTGGAAGTGAGAATTGAAAGCTTTGGTTGGTGGCTGCCATGGCGATGCGCGACCTCGTTTCGGGTTCCGCCGCGTGCGGCGACTCCTCTTCCTCCTCCTCCGCCGCAAACCCGCTCGCTTCCCTCGCCAACGCCCTTATCGGCTCTTCCTCTAAAACTCAGGTCGCTCTTTTTCTCTCTCCACCCTTCACTCATCACTAATTCCATTTATTCACTCATCACTGATTTCTTCTCTTTGTTTCCTCACAGGAGAGGCTGAAGGAGATTCCTACATCCACTCCCACTGACCCTGCCTCGCAATTTTACTCCCCTGCCAATTACCTTCCAGGCTCCGAACTCGATAAGCCTCTATTGGATGCAAACTCGCAGGTTCGGTCGGTTCGGTTCGGTTTTTGTTTGTGTGTTATACTTGTACTTCTCAATTGATGATCGTTTTTTACGGAACCACAGGGTTCGGAGTTTTTGCAAAGGTTCCGTGGCGGTGGCGCGACGGGGCTTGAGGAGACGTGGGATGAGATACAGCGCGAGGGTGCGATTGCCCAAACGCGGCAGCTGCTGCCCCCGCTTCAACAACCGCCCTTGGAGGGTAGGTTGTGTTTGGTTTGAGAAAATGTTTTCTGTTTTTCTCAAGTTTGGTTTAGTGAAAACAACTTTTCATTGCTTTCTGATTTTATTTTTGTCTTCTCTTTTTCCTGTATTAACTTTAGTGAGCAAAAAATAAAGTGAAAATAGGAGAATGACTATGGAAGATGTTTTGTTTTATGGTTTTTATTATAATTAATCATATTCTTTTACTTGCTGTGCTGGTTGTTGTTTGTGGTGTTTTTTCTTTGTTCCTTATGTGGGATTTAGTTCAAGTGCTGTTTATTAGTGGCAATGTGCTGGGGACTTGAATGTGTTATTTGGATGCTTACTGAGAGCGTAGAGGAGTTGTGGAGTTGATGTTGTTATCTCTGCAGGGACACCGCAACGAGTTCTATCGAGCTTTTTGCACTCATTTCTTGATAGCAGCCGCGGTGGAGTGCCTTTTCATCCTGCCCCTCTTCCAATGTTGGGTTTATCTGAAGGTGATAAACAATGCATACGTGACCGGAGCAGCATAATGGCCAGACATCTCTTTGCAGATAAGAGCGAAGAATTCATTGATGCCCAAGTAAGGAAATTCATGGACACCTTCATCTGGTTTCATTTTAGTTTAGTTTATTACTTTCATATGAACAGTGCTCTGAAATCTGAATTGGTTATTGAGGGAAAAGAGTAACAAAGAAAGTTTTAGTTGTTTGTGTATTAGATGTTTAGAGTTCAATACTGTGATTAGGTACAAGGGTGGTCACCTGGGCTCTGGGGTGATTGCGCAAGAGATTCCTCCTGTCCAATCTGCCTTCAAGTTTTGCTAAAATGATTTTAAAAATTCATTTTTGGGTGCAAATAAAACTGGGTTTAGATGGGCTTGGGAGTTGCTCCTGTACAATAGCTGTTTCTTCATGCATTTCAACTGACCGTTTGTTTTATTGAGTCAAATGTCTGTTGTTATCACTTCTTAAGTTATATCTTCTCCTTAGTTTTACTCAGAAATTTGAAAAGCTCTTCCACTGGAGTATGCCAACCTTTCCTTTTATAAAGCATGTGGAATAATGATTTTTACCAGATGCCACATTTTCCTAAAACAAAATGCTGTCTTTGCCTAAATTCTTTTTTCTTGATTGCTCTTCTCCGAACTTATCACATGTAACTATTTTCAGGTAAATGCACTTCTATGCTCTCTAGATATTGACAGCAATGTTCGTGGTAAGGGACCTATGCCTGAAAGATTTAGGGAGCTTGAGGATTACTGGAATGAGTCTCAAGGAAACCTGAGACTTGGTGCTCCTGCTGCTGACGGGTGGATTACTGAATTTAGTCAACATAGAGAAAAATATGATAATCCTGATTCATGGGCTAACTCATTTGAGCAACAATATGGTGCAAATGGTTGGGCGTCTGAATTTGAACGTGTGAGAAGTCTTTACTGTTCTATTTCTGGCTATAATTTGAAGTATATTACTCTTTTTTAATCTGTAAATTAATGTAGTATTGATGAATTAAAAAAAATTAATGTAGCATTGAGTTTATTAACATGAAATTGAATTGAAATCCTTGAACAATTGAGGAGACTTGTTATACTGAACTGACTGCTAATGCAAACAGTTTAGGATTACTCTCATATTTCTGTTTCCTAAATTGTATAAACTCTGAATTTTGAATAATATTAGACATGCAATACCCATTTTTGGTCAATCCATGAAATCTCCCAAACAAGTTCATCATATAATTAGTTAGTGGAAATTGCTTTCTGAGCATAACTCCCAAGTTCTAATTTTAGATTTTCCTGGCCTAGCATGTTGTTTCTACAGCCTTTTCTGCTATTGTAGGTCTATTCCTCTAAAATTCAGTTTCACAATCCTTGCTTTCCTCTCTTTGCCCATGGCCTTCTCTTCAAAATATTTTTTCGAACTTTGATGCGATGCCCTGTTTCTTCATTGGTCTTGATGTTGGGATCCATAACCTGTGTATAGATAGCACACATATCAGAAGGGAAGAGCCATGTGGGGAATGTCATAAGAATATCTGTCTGTGTGATGTCTTTTCTGTTTTGAAATTATTATAATTATAGTTTCAACCAGAAACATTCAAAACAAATAGAATCCAAGCAAACAGGCCATGAGAGAACATCTAACCCAAAATGAAGAGCGGAATCATTTCTTGTTTCAGACAATTTGTCTTTGATGCAATGCCTTATTTTGTCACTTGTCTTGATGTTGGTATCCATAGGCTTGGATTATACTGGCACCCGTAGATAATAATCAATTTCTGAAAGTACCTCAGGTATAACTGATTATTTGCAATTCATTTCCTCTTAATTTTAAAATTATTTTCTCTTGCTATTTGTTTTTGCAGTCACAATTGTCATCAGTAGATCAAATGCGAGGTATGAACATGCCAAACTTTGCTGCAATGGAGCAGACTCGTATGCTCGCGAACACATTGGCCCAAAATGGTGACCCTAAATTTCAGGTTTCTCTACTATACATGAATTTTATATTTTTATTTCACAAGCATGTTAATCATTCCAATCGAGTACTTCAATGAGATATCAAAATAGATGGATGTTCAGTAGTTTTTGACATTTTACTAATTTACTCACCCTTTCTTCCCTGCGATTTTATTTTCTTTTCTTGCTTAATCTATATCATTGCATACTCATATCTGGGTGTATTGTTTTGTTTCATAAATAAAATGAGAAATTTGGGAGAAATACTTGTACACTAATCCCCTAATTGATAATTGTTTTACTTTTGCAAACTTAAGATTATGATAATTGAATCTTGTGGATAGATGTTGGATTTTGCTAAATTTTCTACTTGTGTGAAGAATTTGACAACTTTGAGACATGATTATTATGTTACTTGGCCTGAATTTCAGGTGCTCAAGACAATTTCCAGGTCTTGCACAATCTCCATCTATCTGTTACATTAAAATGTATTTTGGTTTCTTACTTACATGCAACTTATTCAGTAGTAGTAGTTCTAATATTTACAGGAAGGGAAGGATCACTTGGTGCTTGTGAGAATCCTATGATTTAAGACTCTAGGTCACTTAGGACAACATGAGTGTTAGGAATTAATGTTAACATTCACAGTGATCCCTCATTGATTTTATAATGAGGGGAAGAGCCTGTTTGGATAAATTTCTCCGTAAGCACTTTTAGGAGAAAAAAATAGGAAGCAAAAACAAAATAAGTTTTTTCATAAGTTAAATTTAGCTTATGTACAAGTTAGTTTGTAGGTTTGTCATATTAGCTTCTTCAAAAACTTATTAACTTATGCATTAGCTAGTTTTAGGTTATTGAGAAGCTTATTTCATTTTTTCTTCCTATTTTTTCTCCAAACAGTGCTTCTAGAAAAGTTTTTCCGTACAGACCCTTATTCTGGAAATATTTTTGAGTACATAAATAGGAATTATTTGATGAGAACAATATTCTAGTGGTATGTTGATATTTGATGTTTAGGGCTGGAATGTAATGCTTGAGTTTGTATCTAGCATATTCTTTTTGTTATATTTTTCTTATGCTTTGGCTGCATTAAGACCATGTTTTTTCTTTTTATATAGAATATTCAATTACTACCTCCGTCCCTATATATAAGACCCTTTTCACTTTTTTGCTTGTTCATTTTTATAAGACCCTCTTCTAATTATCAATTGCATTAGTTATATCTTCTCCAAAATGCCCTTATTTAATTAACAATTCTTTTAGACAAAAAATAATAAGTGCTTGAATTTAATTGGATAAAATCTCCCTCTCTTATTAGGATTGGAGAAGATAAATAAGCACATTGACATCTCTCTCTTCCAAACATTAATTAATTAGGTGGGAAATGATTAAGTGAAAAGAGAGAAGGTTATTTTTGGAAAAGTAGTTTAAATTATTGACAAATTTAATGCTCTTAACTAAAGTAACTAATTTTCTCAAAGGGTGTAATTTAGTTGAAAGGGTTTTATAATTAGAGACAGAGGTAGTATTTAGAAATTAAGAGAAGAGATTACAAGATTGAGGAGGGAAAGACTCTGAAAGATTGGTGTTAAAGTGACTCTTTTGTGCTATGCCATAATTTTTATCAAAGGATATCCTTGAAAGCCATGTGGATGGAATAAAAACTTCATTGAATGTTGATGAGTGTGTTTTTTCTGTGCTATATTCTTGTGCTCTTCGTTAAGAAGAATATTTTATTCTCTTGTTGCTTTCTTTCCTCTGTTGAAAAAAATAAAAAAATCAATAACAAGCTTTTGTGGTATGCAGAACTCAAAATTCCTTCAATTTGTATCAAAGATGAGCCGTGGTGAGTTGATTATTGATGACAATCAAGTTAAAGAGAATGCTGCATCTGGAGATTGGGCAACAGAATACAATCAACAATATAATCATGGTCATGCATGGGCTGGAGAATTTTTAAATGATAAGGCATGTCCAATGAACTTGGAACCGTATTCTTTTGCAAGTGTTTTATATATTATTGATTGGCATATATTCAATTATAAAACTAAGATACATCAAGATGTAGTTTTTGGTTGTGGTTAACCATATAAAGGGCCAATTTGTTTTGAACTAAAAAAAACTCTTTTTTAAAAAAGTAATTTTTTTAAGTAGATAGAAGTTGCTTTTTTAAAAAGTACAAAACTGCTTATTTTAAAAATAAGCAGTTTAGACAAACACATCAAAAAAGCAGAAAATTGCTTATTTTATTAAAGAAGCTGGGTATAAAAGTCAAATTCGAAATGAATAACGAGGCTAAGGTGGTAAAGCAGAAGAGGCTGAGGAATTGCAATAGAAAATGGAGGAACAACTAGCCATAGTTTATACAGAAGCACCCAGGATGATTGACAACTTCAAGGTAAGGGAAGATACTCTATGGACTAGAAGGCCACTTACAACCGCACTTAATTTTGTGCTCAGCCACAGATTGTGCAATAAACTCTTTCTTGGTGTTTCTTGGTCAGCTTGAAATTTCTTGGCATCCCTCCCCCTATGCCAGTGCGGGTTACTCCATCATTTGAAAACCTAGCGGTTTGGACTATAGCAACAATGCCCTGCGAGATATGAGGTAGCAAATTGAGACAAGGGACAAAGAGGAAGATAATAGTGCTTCACGTGGGATCATATGGAGATTAATTGCACCTACACCTCTCCAGACCCACTAGATGCCAACTTATATGATACCACCATCAATTGGTCCTCAATAGAGCTGCATCCTTTGATGACAAAGCTAAGGATCTTTGCGATGTCAGCCAAACCATTAGACACCTTCCCATTTACAACTAGAGGTGTCAAAGTGAGGTTCAACCCAGTGAGTTAATCCGACTCACTACTAGCCCATGCCAGGGGCTCACCATGGGTCCATGTCGGGCAGGGTCAGAAAATAAAATGTGTACCAATATTTGCTAAATTTCAACTTGGCTCACTTAACTTGTGAGCCAATGAGTTTGAACCTAAGTGAGTTGGCTGTTTAACCCATTACAATTAAAAAAAAATTATATGTTTACGTTTTTTGTAGTTATTTGAAATTTTGCTTGATATTTTGCTATGTATTTGCATTTAAACCAATGATTGACTTGCTTTCTTGATAGAAAAAATTGTAAACCTTTATTTTATTTATTAAAAGCATAAACATATAATTAATTTTTTTATTTTAAAAAATTTGGTGAGCCAACCTATTTAACCCATCACTATGTGGTGGATCTAGTCCGGTTGGAATTTTCCTGGCTCACCAGAACGTGAGTTGGGTTAGGTTGGTCTCATTAAAACACCAACCTATGATGAGTCAACTCGAATTAGTTGGATTGGCTCATTTTGATACCTCTACTTACAACAACCAATGAATCATTGTCGGAGTTGTTGTCGGCAGCAAAGTCATTATGTGTAGGCACAACAAAGATGCATCATTCTTCCACTAATTTTTTTCTGGAAAAAGTTAAAAGGAATATGGACAAATTTCACATTCGGCATGATGGGTCTAATTATTGATGCAATGGGCCAAGTTGAGTGTAGAGATACCACTGTTGTTTGTAGCTTTTACAATGCAGTTTTAGCCTACTTGCACCCTTGAGGACAAGGTTGTTTTCATTTGTAAATTGAGCTTTAGCTCTTTGTGAAAGGAGAAATCCTTTTTGAAGGGGAAACCTTTGAAGGAGGGTTATCTCCCTTATTCAGTGTCCTTTTGCAATCAAGAATTAAAATCTTTCTTCTTTATCTTTTCAATTCTTGGTTCCTAAAAGTTCTTGAGTAGCCCTATCTATATGAGAAAATGGGTGTTTGCATGAGTTCTATGACTATGATTCCCAAGAGTGGAATTTTTTCTCTTTGGGATATTTAAATTGCACGCTTACTGTTGAGATTTGATCTAGATCTTCATCTAAGATTTGATTCAGATTTCCATCTGAGATTTGTTCTCGATTTCCATTTGATCTCCATCATTATTTCATATTTCTATGTTTATTATTTTTGTTAAGCTATCATTTTATTGTATTTAATGTATGATTGTATAATCCTTATAATCAAGGGATGTCATTATTATTGTAATTTATTTATAATCATTATGAATAAAGGGCCAAGGAATAACTCTGCTCAAGTATTTAGATCATTCTAAGCCTAATATTCAAGTTGGTTTCAAAGCCTGGTTTTGATCCAGGGACCTATGGGTTATGGGCCCACCACACTTTCGCTGTGCAATTTTTTGAATCCTTTCACAATTTTATGCATCTCATCGTATGCTCCACCAATCCTCTTGTCCTCACACAGCACAACAAAATGGTGTTGCCGAATGCAAGCATCAACAAATTTTTGACACTACACGTGCCCTCTTGATTTACTTTACCCTTGATAAATTTTGGGGGGATGCCATTCCTATGGCTGGTTATCTTATTAATAGAATGCCCTCTTCTTCTATTTCTATTGGTAAAACTGTCCTTCATTCTATTTTATTTCTTGATGAGCCTTTGTTTCATATTCCTCGTGTTTTTGGTTTTACTTGTTTTGTTCATGATCTCCCTCCAAGTCTTGATAAGTTGAAGGCTTGTGCTATTAAATGCATCTTCCTTGGTTAGTCATGAACCCAAAAAGGTTATCAATGCTACCCTCCTGCCAACCACTGCTTTTACATGTCTATTGATGCCATTTTCTATGAAGATACTCCCTTTTTCATCTCATCCATCTCCTTTGAATCTATTTGTCGGGTACTATATATTCCTCCTGTCATTCATCACTTAATTGTTTCCTCCCTTCTCCCGAACCCTCCCTTCTTACTTATCATTGTCGCCCTTGACCTCCACCTATGGAAGCAACTCCCAATGAAGAGATTGATGCTTCATCTCTTGATCTAATCACCTATCATGCTGCGGTTGACTCCCAAAGGCTACTCACAAATTTTTGGCCTAGACTACAATGATACTTTTTCTCTAGTTTCCAGGATGGTCTCTGTTCGTCTCTTTTTGGTCCATGGCAGCTATGTGGCATTGGCCTCTTTATCAGTTGGACATCAAAAATGTATTTCTACATGGTGATTTAGCTAAGGGAGTTTATATGGAACAACCTCCCGAGTTTGTTGCTCAAGGGGAGTCTAGTGGCTTTGTTTGCAAGTTACGCAAGGCCTTATATGGTCTCAAACAAAGTCCAAGAGCATGGTTTGAAAGATTTAGTTCTGTTCTTCAGAAATTTGGCATGACTCGCAGTGAGTCTTATCATAGTTTTTTACAGACTTTCCTCCACTAATCAATGCATTTATCTTGTGGTGTATGTAGATGATATTGTTATTACAAAAGATAACCATTGGGGGTATCTAGGACCTTAAAAGTCATTTGTTTCAACACTTTCAAACTTTGGATTTAGGTCGACTTAAATATTTCTTGGAGATTGAAGTAACCCAATTAAAGACAGGTGTTGCCATATCCCAAAGAAAATATGCCCTTGACATCTTAGGAGATATCAAAATGCTAGATTGTAAGCCCATCAACACTCCCATGGATCCAAATACCAAGCTAATGCCAGATTAGGGGGAGTCTTTCTCGTATCCAGGCTGATATCATAGACTAGTTGTGAAATGGAATTATCTCACCATGACTAGACTTGACATATCCTTTGCAGTCAGTGTTGTTAGTCAATTTCTCAATTCTCCATGTAAAAGTCATTGGGATGATGTAGTTCGAATTTTGAGATATATAAGAGGAATTTATGTGGCATATATTGATGTAGATTGGGCTAGTTCCACTAGTGATCGTCGATCAACCTCCGAATGTTGTGTTCTAATTGGTGGAAATCTTATTTCATGGAAGAGTAAGAAACAACAAATTGTGGCAAGTTCTAGTGTAGAGGCAAAATATTGTGCTATGTTTGTTATTGCGTGTGAGCTGATTTGGCTAAAGCAACCCCTTAGTGAACTTCAGTTTTGTAAAATTGACTGTCACTTTATACGAGAGATTTTTGGAGAAGTCACCTCCTCTTTTGTCAATTCTAATGATCGACTAGTAGAGATTTTTACCAAGTCTCTCAAAGGGCTGATGATATCCTACATTTGTTCCAAGCTGGATGTCTATGATCTATATGCTCCAACTTGAGGGAGAGTGTTGAGATTTGATCCAAATTTTCATCTAAGATTTGATTCAGATTTCCGTTTGAGATTTGTTACTGATTTCCATTTGATCTCTATCATTATTATTTCATATTTCTATTTTTGTTATTTTTGTTTAGTTACCATTTTATTGTATTTAATTATGATTGCATAATCCGTATAATCAAGGGGTCTCATCATTATTGTAATTTAATTCTAATCATTTTAAATAAAGGGTTGAGGAATCACTCTCCACAAGCATTCGGATAATTCTAAGTCTGATATTCAAGTCTTACCAATATTCTTAATTGTGCTTGTGATGCTTTGTGCAAACTCGTGTAATTGTATGTATAGAGTGTTGGATGTTTCATTTCTAGATTTCATATTACTTGAAGTTTTGATGGTTGAGCCTGCAAAGGTAAGGTTGCTTTGTGTGACCTGGAGGTCTAGGCATATTATTGTGAATACAGCCTCTCTGTGCATAGGGTACAACTGCATGTATTTTAACCTCCCAAGACCAGAAAATAATTGGAGCTTCATGCACTAGGCCACCCTTTTACAGTTTTACTCATGCAACCCTTTTACAGTTTTACTCATGCAAGTCTGTGATACATAGTACATCTCACAGTTGATTATTCTTGACACTTGATTTTATTTTAAATACAAAGTCATGGAAGTGCATAGAAAATTAAAATTAATTAATCGATGAGCCCTTTTACTCATATTTAAATGCTGATTTGTGGATTCAAGGTTTATCATGGACCTGATCAGTGGGTGAATGAATTTACAACTGAAGGAAGGCAGCATGATGCAGTCGATGATCAGTGGGTTAATGAATTCTCAAATTTGAATGTTAATGATTGGGCAGATGAATTTCAGCAACAGCTTGGTGATAGCACTTCTGATAGTTGGGCTCAGGCATACAATGAGTAAGTCAAGCTTTCCTTCAGACTGAACTGGAATTGTTGTTTTTTTCATCATAAATAACTTTACTGGATAGATTGGCAAAGAACATCTTTTCTTGTAAGTTATAAAAGTATATTGAATGACTCATAACTAGGCATCTTATGTACTTGTACTTTTCTTTGGGGGATTTTTATGAATAGAATTAGAAGTTGCAAAGAGATTGGAAGCTTTTTTTGGCTGATGTGTGTCTAGTATTTTGGATTAATGTTTTAATCTGTTTTTCTTATTTCCTTTTTAGAATAATGTCTTAACTACTCTTGATTCCCTTTTCCTATTGTTTTTATATTGAAGCAAGAGAATGCCACACCTTCCGTTTGGAAATTCATATGCTAAGTACATACTTCTTTTGCTCTTATTCTAGATTGATGCGGGAATCAGACAATATAAAAACTGGGAGTCTAGTCTAGGACACCTATTTCTATTCTATGGCAATACATACTACATAGTAGGAGTGAAATAATGAGGTTGAGATGAGTGTGATAAGACAGATACTGGTGTGTTGTATGTTATGTATGTGTTTAGTAACTGTAGTGTTGGCCAGATATATGATATGCTGTAGCAGATATATGTGCATTTCTTAATAGGATATGTGACATTTCTGATTAATTGTGTTATTTTCTTGAAAGTTGTTTGAAGGCAACTCCTTGTTTAAGGGCTTATTCCCATATATTCACTTTTTTCATCAATCAATTCTTTTACCAATATTTTCTTGTTTCTTTACTGTTGTTATTGTTTTTTCTTCTTGTGTTTGGGTTATGCTCATATTTTTCCCTTTAGACTTGAAAATATTACATGCCAGTGAGAAGGTTATTCCCTTATTAATTAAAATCTCTTTGGGGGCTTATATGAAGGTTCTTAAATGAGCAAGTTGCTGCCAAGCAGCAGTTAGATAGTTCAAGGGGCGTCTATGTCTTTTCAGATTTAAATCCTTATGTTGGTCATGCAAATCCACTAAAAGAAGGCCAAGATCTATTCAGGAAAGGACTTTTAAGTGAAGCAGTTCTAGCATTGGAAGCTGAAGTCCTAAAAAACCCCGAGAATTCTGAAGGGTGGAGACTGCTTGGAATAGCACATGCAGAGAATGATGATGATCAACAGGTTGGATTATGCCTTGTTGAAGCCCCTGTATTTGTGTAGTCTACTAGTCTGCAATGACATTTATAATCATGTAGCTGGCATTGCTAGAGCCATACAAATATTCTACCGGACAAACAATCTATTTGTTTGTATTTATGTCAACAGTCTATGGCAGAGATGGCATTGCTGTTCAATAAATTATGCCATTCAAATTTGCTTCTCTGCTGAAACCATCAAATGATTGTTCTGGATATGTAGTAAATGATATATGCTTCCAATTTCATTTGGCAAAAATTAGTTCACTGAATAGTATATTTGTTGGCTATTTCATATATAACAACAATAATATAAAATGGCTATTTTCATAATATAAGTGGTAGGACTAGGATGCATTTTGATGCAATTAAATAGAAATCTATTTTTCACTGTTTTTCTGCCTATAAAGTCTTTTTAATATGGAAACTTATTTTCCAAATCCCCCATGTACAATTTATGTTGCCACTTCATGTAATTTTATATCGACTATTTGGTAAAAAATGGGCACTTCTTCTATACCAGTCTACTAATTGTCAGCACTTATCTCAATTTTATCATGTTTTGCATTGACTCATCACTGTATTTTTGAATGTTTACTTTAGAACTTAACTGTTTCAAAACTTCTTAAACTTACACAGGCTATTGCAGCAATGATGCGTGCGCAGGAGGCTGACCCAACAAACCTGGAAGTGCTTCTTGCTCTTGGTGTCAGTCATACAAATGGTTAGTGTCTGCTTCTGATAGATATTAGCAAACTAGCTTAAAGATAATTTGTTTCATGAAGTCTTGATGCTTGAATTAATTTCATATTTTGTTTTTTTTCTTGGATGAAAATTGTAGAGGTTGGAGATCTTTTTAAAGGAGCTAATATAGTTTTACTGCTTTACTTTGTATTTGCCTGCTTTGGAAGGGTTCTTCTTGTACTTTATTTTACACTCATGTTCTGTTTTGCTGAATTTGTTATTGAAAGCTATTGATGCAATATGCAAATGACTTGTAGGTTTTGCATTGTATTCCTAGATACTAAATGTTGAGTTATCTGCTGATATTTGTAGAACTGGAGCAACCAGCTGCTCTGAAGTATCTATATGGATGGTTGCGCCATCACCCAAAATATGGAACACTTGCCCCACCTGAGATGTCTGATTCTTTGTACTATGCTGATGTAAGTGGATTGATTACTTATTGTGGGAATCATGTTAAAACTAAAAAGTTATTTCATATAGTGGGTACAGTAAAACTGTCATCCACAACACAATATAACTTTATAATTAGCATATAAATGTATTTGAAAATTCTTGTGGGGGTTGTTGTCTTTGCAGTTGTTTGGGTCTCTGGTGCAAGGTTGTTTACTTGGCCTTTCTTTTGTTGTTACCCTATACAATGTGCAAAGGAATTCGTGGGTTAAAAAAAGAAAGGTGGCGAAGAGGGCTGGGATGGGGATTGCTTATTCATTGGGTGCTCTAGTCTAACTAATTATATTATCTGTATTTGAAGTTTTAAACTCTAGGATTACATAGTGTCAGAAAAAACTGTTTCTTATTTTATTCATAGCAAAGCAATTGCTCTTAAATAGAATACATATAACTTAATTAAGGAAACCCTAATTTACGATAGACATTGTCTATCTCTATAATTCAGGGTCAATGATCCTGTACAATAAATACAAAAAAATATTCAGCCTATCCTCCTAATTGTGGAATGCAATTAAATTTATACAAGAAAATATTATCTTCAGCATATTTCCAGGGATTCTGACACATAGTATATATTAACACATTGGTCTAGCTCATTATCTTAGCATTTCTATCAAGCTGGACCGCATATTGGTCTTCACTAGCCCATTATCTAGGGTTACATAGTTGTCAACCATGTTCTATATTTCTGTCATCTCCATAGGTTTCTTTACCATCACGACATCTCTGGCGTGTGCTAACCCCCTTGTTTCGTGACTGTTTGGTTTATTTCCTCTCTCTTCTTGTTGACTTATGACCTCTTCTACTCAAATTTACTCTCTGGTTCAAATCATGCTCTGAGATTGGAGACATCATCCTAATTATGTGGTTTTTTTAGATTATCCTTCTGGCTTTACCGGAAGTATCAACTGGTCCCATGGCCTTCCCATAGATATCTTTAGATATTTCCATATATTCTAAAGAGGATAGTCTAAGATATGATATTTTAATATATTTTGTGAAAGATAAACAACTATTTTCTGAATTTTCTTGATTGATGATTCCATCCATCAGAATGGACTTTTTTATATTCAAGAGTATTACAAAGAGAGTTAATGCCAAAATAATTTACAAGAGAAAAATTAAGATACCGCTACTTCCTATGATGAATTGAACCTAGCTATATCAAGTATCTAGGCAACTTGGAAAAATAAACATTAACATATTCTTATCTCCTAAAATATTCTATTTCTAACATATTTTCCATATATTGTAGCTGTGGGAATCTGTTCAGTATGTTTTGACCTCTTATGCAATGCCGGGTTACATAAAATGTAAAAGGCAATATGATTGACTGATTGTCACACTGTAATCTTGTTGTGGAGTTATTGGCAGAGACAGACAACTTTCACACAAGAATAATTCTATAAGAGCCTCATAGCGCTCATAAGTAGTTTGTGTGATGTCATGAAACTCAGTTTCAGCACCAGACCTTCCCAACTCATTCTGCTTCTCACCTGTTGTGAAGCCAAGTTTCATCCGACAAACATCCTGAAACTAAAGTATCTTTTGGTTAAATTAATGAGACAACAGTTTGGGTAAGCGCTGACAGTGCCGTGGTTGTCAGAGGATGTTGTCTCAGGTTGCATAGGCACATTGGAGAAAGGAAGTCATGGTGTTAGGGGAAAGGGATGCACAATGGTTGTGACTCGTGAGTACTGTTTGCCTGAGTATGAGAACTGCCTGTGGCAGGGAGGACTGGCAAAAAAACTAAACTACTAATACCATATAGAAAGAATGTATCTGAATGTTGTATGTTGTACATCCACACATGCATCTTGTTTATAATAACATATTCGGGTGCGACACAATCAGTCATAAATATATAAGAATAAGTCAAATTCCTAAATTGTAGTAACTGCAACCTAAACTAGTGACAGCTGTTTCCATATTTAACAATTATTAAATATGCTATCTAACAATTTGAAAGGTTGATTTTCCATTCTACAGGTTGCTAGGTTATTCAATGAAGCAGCTGAACTCTCGCCTGATGATGCAGATGTCCACATAGTTCTTGGGGTCATGTACAATTTATCCAGAGAATATGACAAGGCCATTCTTTCTTTTGAAAGAGCACTAAAACTTAAGCCGCAGGATTACTCTCTATGGAACAAGCTGGGTGCAACACAAGCAAACAGTGTTCAAAGTGCTGATGCAATAATGGCTTATCAACAGGTACTGTATATACTTTAATCTTGATATGGGTGTAGCTTTAATGTTATTATGTCATTCAAATGTAACTTATTGTATCAAGATTTTCGGAAATCAATTGTATGACCTGGAGGTGGGGCATTTATCGAACTATAAGTTAGGGGGTTTGTCATGTCAAATGTAGTTTTAGCTTTTTTTTAGGGAAGATCATTAGTTCTTAGTGATTTTCATGTACAGATGTTTCCAACTGTATTTGTATGAGTGAGTATTATTATATTTTTCCTTGCCAAGTAACCAAAAAATGAATAAAAATTGTCAATTCTATGAAGACTGTCAAGTACTATTTCATTAAATTAACTGCCTTTTCTATCATTGTATTGTAACGGCATGTTTTTGGAGTAAATGTGCCATCTATTTTTTTTTAATTAAATCTATTCTTTCTTAGATGCAATGCTCCTTTTGACTAAAGCCATACTCATTTCAGGCACTGGATTTAAAGCCTAATTATGTTCGTGCTTGGGCAAATATGGGGATCAGTTATGCAAACCAGGTCAGTTTCATGTTGGGGTATATCTTATTTGTATCATACGCACATATCAAGTCGGAAGTTGAATCATTGTTGTATCGTTTCAGTTTTACTAAGTTTATGGAAGGTGCAACTGCAAGTGTAAAACTGTAATATGTGTATGGCTGCTACGTCAGTAGGAATATTTAGCTCTGATGATTTTTTGGTTTTTGGATTTCAATGTTTGCTCCAAAGCTGGAGGTAGTACATTTTAGCGCTGGTGGGAGTACATTTGGGTTTCAATCTATGCAATGTATTGGAATTTATTAGGTGCGATTCTTGTTGGGGTGTATAATGATGGATGACAAGTATTTAGGCCAAGTTTAGTTTCTGTTGTGGAGATTTGAGACTGCAGTTGTGTGCCTTGATAATTGGAGAAAGACAACATTTACCTTTTATTTGTTTGGGTGTAATGAGAGAGGAAGGAAATGGGGATGAGGAAGATAGGATAAAAATACCAAATTTTCACTGTTTGAGAGGAGAAATAAGAAGAAAGTTTTTGGGTGGGGCCCACATACAATAAAGTTTCCCAAAAATTGAGTTGCTCTGTATTCTTTAAAATGTCAAAGATGGAGAAATAAAAATGACCAATTTTTTTATAGATAACAATTTTCTCTTGACTTTTTGCCTCCCTATCCTAAAATTTGCTACTTTTTCACGCTAACTTTTTGTTGCTGCAATTCTTTTACTGCCAACTAGCAACCTCAAAACTGAAAGAGCTAAAATGTTGTTTAGAAAAATAAAATTTTAATACATACACAATTAAATTGGTATTCTCAAAACACGATGAATAATTTCTTTATTAGGTGAAATTTCGCTAAAAAGTTAGTGATATATGTAATAAATTGTCAGAATCAATTTTTGAAATTATATTAAACAGAATTGGTTTCTACTTGATCTAATTTGTGTGTTTAACTTCATCAATCCTTTTTATAACAATTAAAAAGACTCATGAAAGAATATAATTTAATACTTTGATATTAAATTTTTTACTAAGAAATGTGATAAGCATAATTTGACTTATGAATAGAAAAAGTTCCTGTAGTTAACTAGGTATATCAAGTACTTAAGGTTTTTCTCATGAAGTGTTGGGTGCTGGGATTAGCAAATTTAGCATTTGTTTACCAGTGTATGCTTGTTTGAAGTTTGAACTGAAATAGTGCTTGATGTGGCAACCATGACTAGTTAGTATAGTTTAAACTCCTTAGGTTGCCCAAGGATATGTTAAAAAAGCTGCTCTGGTCCAAATGACAGTGTCTTTTAGGCACCCTTCTATTAATTGGATCCATGCTTGGGAGATTTTAAGGGAGCGGATTAGTTACTTCATTTCTATTGGGAACTGCCTGGAAATACGAAAGGGAGTGTGATTCTAACTAGTAATTTTTTTTTTCAACTATCCTTCATTTTTTTTTCTTGTTTTGTTTTATAAAAGTGTTTAAAACTGAATTAAAATTTGTATGCAATTAGTTGATTTTAAAGAAGTGGCTAATTTAAAATCAATAATTGGGTGTCTAGAGTCTGATTAGTTTCAACCTGGAATCACAAACACTTCCTAGCGGTTGCTGTTTTAGTGTCAAACTTCTATTTGTTTCGAGTAATAATGATATACATACAACAATTTATATAATATCAATTTTTGTATCTATATCTCTATCATATCATTTATTACATTTAAATTTCTCTCTCTTTTCTCATTTTTTTGTACATGTATCATTTCTCATTTGTTTCGGATATTCTTTGATGATGCTGGATACTTGGACCTACACCATTCGACTTTTTAATTTGAATTTGTGAATTTTAGTACAGGTGGGGTATCCTAATGATTGGATGAATGACTGATGTTGATATCTGAGACATTGATGACTTTGTTTGAAATTAGTATTGGTGCTTTTACATTGATGACTTTGTTTGAAATTAGTATCGGTGCTTTTACATTAATCTGGCATGAATTTTAGAGATTCTCTTACGTTATAAGTTTGTTGATTTGGTTCTTCAATAATAAATACATCAAAATAGTGCTTCAATAACAAATATTGACCTCCATTAGGCCTTTAATGTTATGTTTTGATATGAAACACCGAAGGGCCATTTTGACTTACTTCATCAAAACGGGTGTTTACTCTTAATCTTATATGTTATATCTTAACTGTTTTATACTAATTTACTATATCTTTCTCATTTCTTACAGGGTATGTATGATGAGTCCATTCGTTATTATGTTCGAGCACTTGCCATGAATCCAAAAGCAGAGAATGCATGGCAATATTTGAGGATTTCATTGAGGTATGATATTAGAATGTATATTAACAGAGAAAAGTAGAGCAGAATTTGATTGAGGCGAATGAGAGAGTGGAAATTCAAATTAATTAATTGTTAATTTTATTTTTCCTGTGACTTACCTTTTATCTCGTCCTGTTTTCCAGCTGTGCTTCTAGGAATGACATGTTGGAAGCTTGTGATAGTCGTAATTTGGACCTTCTCCAGAAGGAGTTTCCACTACAGTAAGGGTGCGTTTAAGTACAGCTTAATTAAGTGCTTATGGAGTAACTAATAATCATATAAGCACCAAGTATAAGTTACTTTTATAATCAAAGGGGAGTTAGGGGTAACTTATTTTCATTTAATCTGAGCTATTTTTTTGTAAGTTATCCTAGTGAGATTATTAGAAGACGTTAACACAGCTAATGGATGCATCATAAGCTAATTCAAATAAGCCGTCAATAAGTGCTTTCAAATGCATCCTATGTTTTGATTACTTCTGAGTGGATGATTTACAGGAGGGTCAGCTAATTTCATAAATTCAAATGTGCAGGTGGTTGCTAGAACATGAATCCTAATTTTCCCTAAAACTTTTGGATGAGTAGATGGGACATTTTCTCCCTTTAAAAGCCGCAGTAGAGATGTCTGCTTCCATAGAAATTTCTAGAACTGAAAGGCCGATCAAGTCAATAAAGCCTGCAGGTGAATACGAGGCATTATACTATCAATCTTTGAACATATGGTGTATATCATGAAAGTAGATCAACCTACACTGGATTTAGGCAGTTATAGACTCCATTTCTTAATGTTTCAAAAGCTACTTATCATAGAACAGCTGCAGTACTGTAGTTAAGGAATGTGGCTTTCTATTATAAAGTTGGGCATATCGTGGATGTACTGATGTAGATATATAAGTTTACAAGATTAACCGTATATCATGTATCTAATTTTTTATTTTATTATTTGATAAACTATTATCCTTTTTGAAATTATAAATGTCTTAATTACAATTTCATCTTCCAATTAGCGTCGGTTCATTGTATCTCAGGAAATTGGGATAATTTAGTTACCTTTTATGTGTGCAAATTATACTCTTAGTTATCTCTGAGTATGTGTCATTAACTTGGTGTGTATTTAGCACTCGAGAATATTCACTCCAAATTAAGTCGTGTTCTATCAATAATATAAACCTTATTTATTTATTAGCTGAGGTCAATTATATGGATCACATACATAAAATTGTTTGGTTCGAATGAAGACCAAATCTTTACACCAATAAAAACGTTGTTCCACTTTGTGATGTCAGCTAATATTGAAGAAAAGAAGGCCTTAGTTGAAGCACAAGGTGTGCAGTGTGCTTAAACTAAGTTTGATACATATCACCCAAATGTTTAGATGTTCAAGTTGATTTTGACTTATGAAATAAGTTTAATTTATTATGTTTTTTTCCCTTGAAAGTATTTATAAAAAAATTCAGACAAACATTTTCTTAGTCTTTTATTATTTTATCTTCGACTTATTATCAAAGCCTACATTATGCTGGTTTTGATTTTGTCATTTATGGTCAGTCAATGTTGTCACATCGGCTCTATTAGAAGCCATTATGTAATTCTCCTTCAATTGTTGATTGTCGTCCAAAGCCAATTAGTCTGACAAGTCCACCATTTGAAGTGTTTCTCCCTATGCAGTTACTTCCAAAAATAACTTAGTTGGAAAGTTTCATGTGCCATACTTTCTCTACATTTAATCGATCTGGGAAAGCCATATGCTGCATTTAATTGGCTCGCGAAAGCCATGTTTTGCTTTCTTGTCACTGGATTTTGATCACGCCGCCTCTAGTTTACTCGTTGATATTTTCTCTGTTTAGGGTGTTGTATTCTCATTTTTATCTGATTTGAATAATAGGTTAACAACCTCCTTGTATTGTATATGTTTTCATTCAACACCAAGTTTGAATATTCTAGTCTGTGTGGCATCCACCATAGATAAAGGGTGAAAAATGTTCATTCTCTTTTTACATTCTCTGCTACTCCTTCATTAACCTCTGAAAAATTTAATGGTAAAGCTTCATGTGGGGTGCTTGCAGTTGATGCTTCTTTTGGTAGACTCTTCCTTCAAATCTTTTACTGACATTTAGAACTGAAATGTATACTCGGGCATCTAACCTTTTGTTCATAAATTGGACAACTCTAATAGAGAGGTTTTTGACTTCTTGAGTTGGACGAGAGGTGTTTCACTTAATGTCATTTGATGTCGTTTAGTAGAAAGTTTTGTTGTCGGGTGTTACTTGAATCACGTCAAGTAGTTTGGTTTTAGAGGGGTCTTTGACTCCTATGGGGACATTTGTGTCGGACACAATTTAGGTAAAGAGGTCTCTAACCTCTTCATGCTAGGCACGGACACTATCACGTCAGTTGTGAATTTGACATAGAGATCCCTAATCTTTGTCATTAGGCACGAGTTTGACCTCATTGGGAGTCATGTCATTATTTATATAGTTAATATTAATGAGGATAATTAAATAATAAAGGAGTCCATAAGGAGTAGTTAACCTATACATGAGGAAGAATGATAAACGCATGGGCTAAAATTATACCTTGTTAAAATGTGAATGAATGATTAGTAGAGATATTTTGATAATGTAGTAATGATGAATGTTGTAATATGTAATGAATAAATGACATTGATGCATGAAGATAATACTATGATGACGTTGAAGGAATTATGGTGATAAGAAGTGATGTTATTGAGTATGTAAGTCCAAGTTGTGACTGACAATGATAAGATCCAAGCATGATTTGGTGTGTTGTGGAGAAGGCTAGGACTATGATATGACAAGTATTACCAAATGGTTATTATTTATGTTGTGATGTTTTATAGTGGTTTGTAAAGTCTACACATTCATGCTTTCTACAAGAAGGTCTTTATGGTTATCTACTTATACTTTAAGGGTGTTGTGGTAAGGAGCCTCTAATGTAGGTGTGTAGACACCAGTTTTTGTCTAGACAAGGCAAACTAGAGATGGGAAGCTTTAGAATCAAAGGAAGTGACCCTCAATGGACCTATAGACTCAAGGACACTTCAAAGGGAAGCAAGGGACCCCTAGAAGACCTTTTAATGAGTCAAAACAACCTAGAAATCAAGATTTTGGACATTTGGAACAAGCATACTCAATTGAAAATGGGCATACTCATTGCAAAATGAGTATGATCGTTCCAATTCAATATGGTCGTTCCAAAAATGAAATTGTATGTAAAAAAATTGGGTGACAACGATCGTTTTACCTTTGGAACGGCTGTTCCCACCCTCAAATGCCTATAAAAGGAGCTTGGCTCCACCATTCTCCACAAACCTTCCAAAATTCAAAATTTTGGACTTCTATTCTCCCTCTTGACTCTCTTTAGGTAACTCCGAGTGGAATAAACTCGACGCTGTTCCTGATTAAGAAATCCTTAATCTGGGGATTTTGGAGTTTCTCAGTTAAAGTTTTTGAGTGTCGGAGAGCTTGTGTAGAGTGAAGAGCTTGTCGAAAAGCGTCTTCAAGTTTTTCTACTAATAAAAGCTTTTTCGGAGGTTATTTTCTCTATTCCTTGTCTTATTTATTGCTTTAAATAATGTATGATTAGAATAGCAATCATGTAGATAACATAATCATATATTGTAATAAAAGGGTAAAAATGGTAATTTTTGCTTAGTTTTGCTAATGAATACGTCATAGGGTACTAATATTAGGCGTTATGGGGTGCCTAACACCTTCCCCATGCGTAATCGAACCTCATGCCCAACTTTGTTTCAAAAATGATTTTCTTTTTCTAATGTTTTGAGAAAAATATCGGTGGTAACTCCATAAATTCTTCAAAACCACTGACAGAGGTTTAGTCCGATCATCAGACATTTCAAAATCGGTGAGGTTTTTAAGTTGGACGTCAGGTCGTCTTCATGTCGGGTTCCGACAAGGTGTGAGGTAATCATGGCTAATTATAATATTTCGTCTAGATCCTGACAGACATCCCCTAGTTGAGTGTGGATTAAAGAGGTCACTCAATGTGTGATGATTCCATTTCATGACTCTTAGTTACAAGGAAGATGATTATGATCAATTTGGATGCTTAATAGCATATAATACTTTCGTCGAGTACTATAACAAGCAACTCAAAAAGGCTATAGAGATATTAATACAAAAGAATTCGCATGTTAAGATAACTTATTTTGATTACTATGGTGTCGCCATATGTTTATTTCAAGCACTACAACAATATGGTGGTGTTAAATAAAATTTTTTATCTTTAAGACAATAAATGATTCCTTAAGTTTTAATGTTGACAACTAAAATGATTTTATTAAAGCAAAAGTCAGCATTCTTTGAAAACATAACAAATCAAACAAAATTTGAAGATAATACATATTATCTATAAGATGAAAGAAATTAGATGAAGCATACAGTCTATCTGACTTACATTAAATGAATAAGATTGATATTGCATTTACTTTAATGTGTTATTCCTCAACAGATCAAACAAAAAGGAACTTCAAAAGTCTTAAAAGAGCATTAATGAGGAAAAGAAAATTTTTGTGAGAAGTCAAAAGCACAATCTCGGATATTACAAAAAATATACTGAAAATGATTGATCTTCACCAGTCTTAACTGCTCTGCACCGACACTCTCTGTTGCATTCAAAAGTAAAAGGAAATAATATATATCCTGATAAGTAGGTTCTACTAACTTAGTATGTTTTATGAGAAACATAACAATTTCAGGTTAGTAGGATTTTGTGATCGGACACGCCAACCATCATTGGCTTTTACTTAGTGGCCATCCTCCTTCCCGACCAACCTAGTTAAATAAATTGTTTGGTGAGACATTCCATCCCTGGCTCTTCATTCCCATATTCCTTCCCTTCTTCGTTCATTCCCACATCATCTCTTATGCGTCACCATTTGCTTCGTCCTCCACACCACCACTAGTCGCTTCATACTTCCTCTTCAAGTTTCCATAGAGGAAGACACAGATGGAAGAAACTCTAGTTGGACTTGTCTAGCTTTTGCTGGTGACAAAGGGGGAGAAGGGGTCAGCGCAACAAGGGAGGAAAATAAGCAACGTTTTCTCAAAAACGTTTTAGAAAACGTTTGTCAACTTTATTTTATTTTTCTTGTATTTTTCTGTCTTTTTTTTTTCTCTTTTGTGAACTTATCAAAATATGTTGTTCTTTTTCTCTGCTATTTGTAAGGAAATATTTATTTTGTGTTGTTTTTTTTATTATGTTTAACCATGCATGTTTTTAGGGGGAATCCTCTGTGTTTGAACAGTACACTCTGATGCCTTAGTATGTCAAACACCATAATGTCTAACTAAAGAGGCTAAGTAAATATGACAAACCAAATGTCATAAGAAGAAATCAAATTAATAAAAGTTGCTCACGTGACTTCTAGCATCTTGGATGTGATTTTTTAACTAAACATTTCTTACAGAACTTTTTTCAAAATATGAACACTTGCTTTGTCTTATCATTAAAAAGAAAATCACTTTTCAAAAGAAAAAGCTAATAAAACTTGTAAAGATGTATATCTTTTAAAAAGTGTTTGTCACCATCAAAAAGAGGGAGATTGTTAAATCAAAAATCTTATCTTTAAGACAACAAACAATCCCTTAAATTTTAATGTTGACAAACAAAAGGATTTTCTTAAAGCAAAAGTCAGCATTCTTTGGAAACATAACAAATAAGATGAAATGTGAAGATAATACATATCATCTGTAAGATGAAAGAAATTAGACGAAGCATACAGTCCATTTGACTTATATTAAATGAATAAGATTGACATTGCATCTGCTTTAATATGTTATTCCTCGACAGATCAAACAAAAAGGAACTTTTAAAGTCTCGAAGAGCGTTAATGAGGAAAAAGACAAAATCTTTGTGAGAAGCCAAAAGCATGATCCCAAATATCACAAAAAAGGGACTAAAAAGGATTGCTTTGCACCAGTCCCAACTGCTTTGCGCTGACACTCTTT